AGCGTGAGAACACGCCATAATAGTATAACACTTTAGCATAGTAGAACACGTACTTTAGAGACAGTCGTATACAAGCATCGAAGCGAATAGAACGAATAAAAGAAGCATTACATGATTACCGATTAAAACAAGTATTTTATTTAGAGCATCAAGGGAGGTTGTTACATTGGCGACGAGAATTGAATCGTGAGCGGACCACGCATGGAAGAAATATTTCTGAATATACGTAGCTACTTTTTTTTTCTTAATTTAAATAGGTGTTTCATCGCAGGCATTGCATCAGCAAAGTGGCGAATTTTTGCAAGCCGTCAGCTATTGGTATAACAGGCAAGACATAATAGATACACATTATTTTCAACACACCAGCGCGTGAAAAGCAAAGAACGATTGAATACAATTACTTGCTGCTTCGTGGTGAAAAGTGGTATATGAGTGAAGCTGAGGCTCTTGCGAAATTACACACATCTACATGCGTATGTTAGTTAACTCGTTGCTAAGTCAATAATTTTAATGTACCAGAACGAAGGAAGCAGTGCACAAAACGAAACGTCAAAGCTATAAATTAAGTTAAGGTGGCCATTCAATTGGTAGAGACACATTCATATTAAACTGCTACTAAAGCAGCGCATTAAATTGGGCTTGTCGACTTATTAAAGATTTGTACCATTTAATTGGTAAAACACATAAGCATTAGAGTGCTACTAAGTGTGCACATTTAATTGTGCTTGCTGTCGGACCATTCAATTGGCTAAAGCGAAAAGCAAGGTACGTGCATTAAATTGCTGAGTGTATATTCAGTACCTTGGGCTCTGAATCTTTTTTTTTTTTTGAAAACACATTACAGGTAAAACTTTGGAAGACAGTTTGTTATATTTTCAAGCTAAAATGACTGAGTTTAAGCCATTCTTATGCGACAACATAGACAAATCTCTATTACGTAATGAGTGGGAAAAATGGTTCCGTTCCTTGTCTTTATTAATTCAGTCCGAAGAAATAAGTGACGCTGTTAAACAAAGGAATAAGCTGCTGCATTTAGGAGGGCCCCAATTACAAGAGGTTATATTTAACATCCCCGGCGCTCTTGTAGAAGTCTACGAAGAAAACAAAAATGATGTGTTCAATATTTTGGTAGAAAAATTTAACAATTTCTTTTCACCCAAGCGTAACTCTACATTTGAAAGGCATTTATTCAGGAGCCTCTGTCCATCGGAAGGGGAAGATTTTAATAAGTTTTTGCTACGACTAAGACATCAAGTGTCCAAATGTGATTTTGGATCAACAAAGAACGAAATGGAAAATAATTGTTTGAAAGACAAATTAATTGATTCTTGGGCACCTGTCGAGCTTAAGAAAAGACTTCTTGAAAAGGAACAAAGTTTAGACGAAGTTATCGGAGCGTGTCAGGTCTACGAACAAATTAATAAGCAGTCCCAGAGTATGTTTCCAAAGTCCGACTCTGCGAGGCGGTCAGCGAAATTTCGTCAAGACAGCAGATAAGGGATAACTGCAAGGAATGTGGAAGATGTGGCAAATTGGGGCACATACACTCCGATGCAAGCTGCCCGGCGCGAAAGTCCAAATGCAATAAATGCGGTCTAATAGGACATTTTGCCCGCAAGTGTAAGACAAAGGGTCAGAAGCGTAAATCTGGTGAATATGAACGGGGCAGTCCGAAAAAGCGACGTTTTCATTTTTCTAATATTAAGTACATTGCCGAACAAGAAAGAAATATGGAGGATAAGTCGTGCAGCCTTTGGTGTTTTAAAGTAAATTGTATTGGGTCAGGAGATGAGATAATTGAATGCCGTATTGGGGGACATACCGTTTCAATGATTATTGATTCGGGATCACGTTTTAACCTCCTGAGCCAAAGACAGAGGGTTGAATTGCAGAATAACAAGGCAGTTTTATTCAATGTCCGAAGGCAGTCAACAAATCAATTCAAAGCTTATGCAGCAACTCAGATCCTACAAGTTCTTTTTGTTTTTGAAGCACCCATCACAGTTGAAGGCTGGTAATTGCTACATTTTATGTAATTGAAAACGCTAACCAATCTCTTCTGGGTCGTGAGACAGCAATCAAGCTTCATGTTCTAAAACTAGGTCGAGGCGTGAATAATGTTGATACCGAAACCCCATTTCCAAAAATTAGAAATATTAAGATAAAGTTATCATTGGATCTTTCGGTAAAGCCAATTCAACAGCCTATGCGGCGGATACCAATCGTAATTGAGGAGAAAGTTGAGCAGAAGATAAATGAAGCACTCGCTCAAGACATTATTGAACCGGTGGTTGGGCCAAGCTCGTGGATCTCCCCTATTGTAGCCGTCTTTAAAGATAATGGGGAAATTCGTTTATGTGTTGATATGCGTAGAGCAAACCAGGCGGTGCTTAGGGAAAATGATCCATTTCCAACTTTCGACACCTTTATGACCAAGTTGAGGGGAGCTAAGTTGTTCTCGAGACTTGATTTGAAATAGGCGTACCATCAGCTCGAATTGGATGAATCGAGTAGAGAAATCACTTCATTCATAACGCATAAGGGAGTTTTCCGTTACAAAAGGCTGATGTTTGGTATCAACTCCGCTCCGGAGATTTTTCAACGGGTACTAGAAGAATTACTATCTCCATGTAAGAATTGTTTAAACTACATCGATGATGTCATTATTTTTGTTATCACGGAAAAAGATCACAATGAAGCTTTGGAGAAGGTCCTTGAAGTTTTTAAAAAGAATAATGTTTTACTAAACTATGATAAGTGCGTATGGCGGGTTAAAAAGTTAAAGTTCCTTGG